ACAGAGACGGAGAGAGAGAGACAGACAGAGAGAGAGACAGACAGAGAGAGACAGACAGAGAGAATGACTGGTCCTCGCCCTTTCTGATCGAACTTCGTGAATTTTGTATTGTTATTTCGGCGTAGTCGATTATTCCAAAATTCCTGTATGGAAAGTTTTAGGTTATTGCCTTTTTAAAATTCTGTCAATCACAAATCCGAGCCCCAAGTTTATCACCTTTCGATGGCAAAATAATGATGGACAAAACTCATGACATATCAATTCTAGAATGGAAAAAGGGATTTCCTGTTTATGACTTATATGAGTCATCAATCGGATGACCGTTTGGGTGGCCAAAACAACTTCATCAAGAGAGCATTCATCAATATGGCATGCGTCTCAGTCTGTGACAGATGGAAAAATAGAATCATCGTTATCCTGATTCTGATGTTGAATTGCTAAAGAGTTATCTTCTACTCATTATTTGTCCATTTCCTTTTCCGCTCGTGCCATCCTCGCGACAACAATCGTCGAAACCCCAGACAATCTTTCCTATAGCTCATCGCTTTCTTTTTCATCTACTTTCGCCGTCCGAAATAAAGAGGTTGGTTTTAATCGTAATTGAATGATCATTAGTCGTTTCCTAGAATTTCTACAAATATATTCGAAGTTAAAAGACTTGCGTTGCTGTCAGTAGCGCATTATTACCATTTGGAGGGGGTTGAACTGGTCAAAAAGTCAAAATTCTCTCTCGAAGCGCCAGGAAAGCAGGTGTACTAAGAGAGGGAGAGAGATAGAGAGACAGAGAGACAGAGCGAGAGAGAGAGAGAAAGTGAGAGAGAGGAGAGAGAGAGAGAGAGAGAGAGAGTGAGAGAGAGAGAGAGAGAGTGAGAGAGAGAGAGAATGAGAGAGAGAGAGAGAGAGAGAGAGAGAGAGCGGACAGCAAACCCCTTTACTTCCCCTTTTTTAGCAAAAAGATTGTTTCGAGTGTCACTCAAGTGAATTATACAGGTTAAAGAGTCGACATTCTCTCTCAAAACGACACAAAAGCAGGTGTATCAAGAAAGAGAAAAAGAGAAAGAGAGCGCAGCAAATCGCTTTCCCTTTCTAGCAAAATATTGTTGGAGTGTCGCTCAAGTGAAATGCAGAAGAGATTTTCGAAGAATCTCTCTCTGGCAGCGAAAATATTAAATGAAGCCCGCCCGCTTCAGTATTAAAACAGACAAAAATAATTCGACCAGGGTGAGAAATCATCATTTAGACAAAAAGGGTCACATAATATAACACAAAGAACATTTCTTAGTTTTTGGATTTGGTTAGTAGCATATTTACATGAATTGTCAACTCTACCTTTAATACAAGATGTGATATTTTTTTTAAATATAATTATAGTGAGAAAAAATATAATTTTATTTTAATCATCATGACGCCTGTTATTTTTCATTATAAACAAATGCATTAATTCACCCAAAAGCATAATACTTTAACGACCTAAGAAAATATAATCATCAAATCTAATCTAAATTTAGAAATACGATCATGATGTGTAGTGGAATAGGTATGTAGGAGACAGTGACTCTTCAGTAAACTTTAATTTGCAAACGCAGTATGGGCTTGTTTCCTGTTTTGTACCGATACAGCAAATTGGATTATTATTTTCGTCTCACCGCTGGACGCTGTCAAAGAAATGTATTATTTTGACAGCATTTCCGAGAAAAGATCATTTTGATCTCGCTTGATGTATCCTAATTTCATTGGTATCGACATTGAAACCATCAGTTTTAAGGTCGGCTTTCATTAGAAATAATTAAACAAAATACAGAACTTGAACGACGGACGGGATAGGAAATTATTTTAGACACTGGAGAATAAGGGAATAAGTATCATCACTAATGAAGGTGAATACAATTTCCTAAATTAATGAGGACGGAAACATTAAAAGAGTTTAAGTGTGGGACAAAGAGAATGTCATAATAAGTTTACATTTTATCAGCAGATCCATCCTGTTAGCGATCGATCCTTTTTTCATCGGTGTTTTTAATAGCGCCCTCTGTCAGCAAAACCCTTGTCACATCTGTAGATCTTAGCTCTGTTTCTGTTTACGTTTGGCATCTTTGTTATTCCTATATCATTTGATTTTGAAGAGACGTATAAAGTTGGGGAACAGGGTCTTTACCCCGACAAGTTTCGAGACGATTGAAATCTTTTTTCGCTGGTTTCCCTCCCTTGAAAAGTTCACAACATCGAAAAGGAAGATTATTTTAGTCAAGAGACGAAACACTGCTCGTATAACCATTATACAGTATATACAAAAATTATAAAAAAACTCAATAGACGATAGCGAAGACTGTCGAAAAATCAACCTATTAAACATTTCAATAGACCTTTCCATTACCTTTTGAAATTTGCAAACATTGACGATTTCAAAATAGCAATAAAACAAGGTATTAAAATTGCAATTGGCTTGATCCTATAAAAGTATATGCGATCGTTGTTTGTGTATTTATTTCTCTCTCTTTAAAAAGAATTCCTCCTCAGTTAATTAATTCATTATCTTTTCTTTCTCTGTTCCCTTGTTTTCCTTGTTTTCCTCTTATAAAGAGTATGCATTTGTTTAATTGCGTTTGCAGTTTCTGCTAACGTCACTAAGGAGGTGCATTTCGGAAAATCGCAAGCATTGTCTGAACATCTTCAAATATCTTAAACTTAAAGTTGAAGTATCAGTTTAATACTATACGTTTATGCTTCTTTGACAAGTTTCTAAACCCTGTATGCAAATTAAAAATTATTAGGACACTTCTTTACGTTACTGTAAGGGATTCATCGATTTGTTGTTGTTGATTTTTTTCTCCTGGGGGGGGGGGGGGGAGCTAGCAACATTACATCAAAAGTGGTATAGCGCCACCTATTGCTATGATCCTAGTTTTCATTCGCAATCCTGTTTAGATTTCTTTATCTTTTTCGAAAAAGCTTTTAAATATTCATAGTATATGTATCCATTTGTGCTGTTGGATGGTTATCACTTTTACCCTCGGATATACTACTGGAGGTAATTGTCCGGTGGTAGATTTCTGATGGGGATAGTTGTCCGGGATGATAATCCGAGTTGGGGGGGGGGGGGCTTGAATCGTTCTACTAATAATCAAGGATGTATTATGTACTCAAATGATGTGTTTTACAACTTTTCTTCGGAGATTCCTTTATCTGTCGTTTATAATGTCCTGTGCCCTGAGCTGTTTTTTTTATTTCACTATTGACCATGACACTACAATGAAAACATCAACTGGAGTGCATCTTGCTCTGATGTAGAAATCTTTTATAACAACTGCTTAACAAACAAGAGAAGAAAAATACGAAACAACTGGGGCAGTGTTACAGGGTCCAACACAGACACAGCTTGATCTTATCACTCATGAATCTTGACCATTAGAAGGCCATTTTGTTCTATTTTGTCACAATTTTGGCTCAAATTATAGCGATTAATGTCGTAGAGAGCACCCAGCGGCATAACGGCTACAAAGACACAGCTGTTTGTCAAGTATGAACGTATATTATGATAAATGCAAATGAATTATGCTGACTCTGTCATTTGTTTGAAATAGAAAATGGAAATTTTACAAAAAGTTTAGAATTTGAAGGAAAAAAATGGTGATGAAAATTTATCCAATGGTTCGATGACCTCAATTTTTCCCGAATTCATTTCCATTTGAGAGAGACTCAGTTTGAAATAAATGTCAAAACCTGATCATGTCTTTATTGTACGAAGGGAAATCATGATTTACGGGGGCTTTGTCAACAACCAAGGATTTAAATCGTACCGCTTGTATTGACGATATAATAACAAGTTCTAAATATAGAGAGATTATTGAAGAGAAGCAAACAATAGTAAGAGAGAGACAGGTAAAGTAGGAGTACAAAGTAGGCAGAGATGGTTAGGATGGTGATCATGAGGAGGAGGAGGAGGAGGAGGTAGGAGGAGGAGGCAGGGTGGTGGTGGTGGTGGTGATGATAATGGTGATAAAGATGATGACGATGATGACGATGACGATGATGGTTATGTGATGATGGTGATATGTTTTCAAGAACAGAGGTGTTGAATATGGTAACATGTCTTTAAATTCTAATTTAACTTTGAGAAGCTTAGGCTTTTCGTGTAAACCATTCAAGTGCAATATTTGTCCTCATTTCTGTCAACCTTGGTCTTTCAACACGAAGGTCTCGTGAAGGTCAAAGACAAATCACTCTAGGCACAGGCATGGAAAGAATCAGAGAGACGCTAAGAGAGAGAGAGAGAGAGAGAGAGAGAGAGAGAGAGAGAGAGAGCTATAGGGAGAAAGAGGAAAGAAGTAGACGATGAACACGATGAGGAAGCTGGAGATAAAAAGTGAGGTGCAGTTTAGAATGGAGAGAGAAAGAGGACGGGAAGAGGGAGAGACTGGGGGAGAGAGAGAGAGAGAGAGCATAGAGAGGTAGAGATACATATAGAAAAAGAGAGAGTGTGTAAGAGAGAAATGGGAGATGGTGGGCGAGTGGAAGGGAGGGGAGAGAGAGGGAGAGGTGGAAGAAAAAGAGTAGAAACGAGAGAGAAATAGAAAATGAGCGAGAGAGAAGAGAGAGAGAGAGAGAGAGAGAGAGAGAGAGAGAGAGAATACGGATAGGGATAGAGATGTAGGATTTACTTAAATCGACCGAAAATCGTTCAAAACAAATTCACTCAAGAATTAACAGTCGGTTATCATTACCATCAATATAATCCTACGTACCGATTGGATTTACCCCATGCACCCCAGCTAGCGCCTCGTAAATTGATTCTGATGCGAACGAGGGGCGGTGTTTCAGGGGCGTGTGAGCTGAAAGGGCCATGGGGGGGGGGCGTTGTAGAAAATTTCGATATTTACATAAACGTGAAGATAAAATTACGATACAGACAAAACGGAAATATAAAGATCAACTGGCTGAATAAGTAAGGAGGATTTATAGTTTTAATTTTTTGCATTTTTTTAATGAGACTTGTATCGAAAACACTTTTTATCCAGCAAAATACCGACAATAATATTGTTGGAAAAGATAAAAATTATTAGAAATTTTGATCGAGACTTTCATGTTGTTCTTAAAAGCACGTACAAAATGTCACCGAAACTGCTACTGCTACACGTCAATCATGGTTAACAGTTATCCCTTTCTAGGGGAATTAGTCCGTCACCAGGATAATTAGTTAAGGGAGGGGGTACAGGGGTGCGCATTTATCGGGGGCTTCCACCCCATCGTGGTTACCAATGCCTCTTGCCTTTGAAACGGACGCTTAGCTTAGCCCCCTTTCCCTGGATACGCCTTCTCAACCTTTGATCGTACTCTGACCCTCAAATCCTTCCACTTTATAGCTACTGGAAACGTCCCATTTTTTATTTCAACCTTTCTACCGTCATATATCTCTGCAAGGGAGCCCAGGCTTGCAATCAACATCAACAACTTCTTAACTTCTAGCCTTGTCGCTGGGCGTTCCGTGATCTCAACTCTCTGACATTCGGGATCAATTTGTTTGCCATCTCTGATCCACCTGGCACCGTTTTTTGCATCTCGTTCGCTCTCCCTTTCGTAAACAAAATCTGATCGAGCGTGGATTGAAGCCCTACTTTTAAACCAGATTGAGGTCGTTGGTTGGTGTGAATTTACAGGGTTTATGCAGGGTGCTGATTGAGATCAATTTATGTTGGGATGGTGGAATATATATCCATATTTTGGCTGCCAGCTTTTCGATTGATTCAGGATGCGCGGGATAATTCGGGTCCACGTTTTGGGGGTGAAAAATAGAACAGTTTCCCAGAGAGTTGCTTGTTGACAACCGAGATGAACTGATGAGTTGCTCCGATCATTTCAAATCTGTTTGCGAGTTTAACTGCATGGGTGCCTTCTTTCCTGTTAAGTTATCCGTTGTACTTAATTGGAGCATATCCGAAGCAAACGCAAGCAGGTGAAGACGAGCGAATAGATACATGAACGACCAAGCTGTCAAGTATGGATTTATTTATTGATTTCGTGATTCGACTTCTCGTCTTCCTCATCGGCGTCGTGAGTTTTCGACCACGGTTGATGACGATGTCGATGCCTGTTGTCAGCGACAATGTCGGATTGTCTGTGCCGTACACCGTCGCTGAGTTGATGGCGATCGTTGACGTCCACAACCAGGAGAGGGGTAACGTCTCTCCAACAGCAGCCGATATGGAATATTTGGTGAGCTCGAGATGTTTTCGGGGAGTGGGGTGGAAAGAGATGGTGTGATGCAGTATGTGTCTATGACAGGGACGGATCCAGGTTTTTTGTTAAGACGGGGGAGGGGGGCACATGCAGTTCTGATAAATCTCTAACAAGCTGAATAACAAACAAATCCTTGTGTATTTAAGGAATTTAAGATTTGGTTTAAGAGAGGGCACCTGCTGTGCATGTCAGGCATGTACTCCTTTCATCTCTCACTGTACAGTTTCTTAATATATTCAAAAGGGATGGCATGATAAGATAAACGATTATATTTTAGAATGTGTGCAGTTATTCAAACATTCCGTTACCATGGTTACTACGTTGATGTATAGCGGGATGGTTCTTGGGACTTAGATTGCTCTGTTCTTAACTATTATGACGAATTTAAAGCCCGTCTGTAATAGTTTGGCCAGAGGGGATTATACCTCCCTGTAAGGTCACTGACAGGTGGTTATCTCATCAAATCAGTTCTCAATTAACATAAGAAAAAGGGGATCACGGGGGACCAACAGGCACCGATTAGGCATTGTTTGCTATACAGAGGGCACAAGTAGCTATAAGTAGTGCAGTGGAGCTTTAAACAGGAGGTGTTGGAGGTGAAATGATACTTGATAAAATGAGAATAACTTTTCACCTAGTTTTTGTTCTATATAGAATGGGAATAGAAAGGAAGTAGTCTATTCTCAAAATTAATGTTATCACAAATGATAATCAGTAAGCTTCCTGTTATTGGATAATTCTAGCATGTTGGATGTTTAATGTAATTGAAATAATTAATTGCTTTTTATTCACTTGTTAGTATTGGGACGAAGAGCTGGCAGCCGCTGCAGACGGTTGGGCTGTCAAGTGTACCCTGCAACATGGTAAGCCTGAGAACTCGACCATCTCTCGATTCGGCCAGAACATTTGGGCTGGTTACGGCCGATCCAAATGGGCGCTACCCGAGACCACCAGCTCTTCCCGAGCTTGGACCAACGAGGATCGATTTTACGACTACGAGACGAATTCCTGCGAAGAGGGCCGAATGTGTGGCCACTATACACAGGTGATGATTAACTTTTGAATCGGGTGTAAATCTACAATTAATTCAACAACTTCGTCTTTGATAATCAATCAAATGTGATTCATAGCTATATCTCCTCGTCGTTATTAATATATCAGCAACAAAGCGCTACACACTTACCAAAGCGCTTATACAGCTTTCAGTAATTATTGTACATTGTAAATTGCGCTATATTGTAAAATGAACGCTATAGAAGAAAGATATAATTATTATGTACAACTCGTTATTTGACTAGGAGATAATAGATACATATACAAATCCGTATTCATTCCTACAATCAAACTGACTTTCGTTTGTCTGCTTGCTTCTTAAAACAACAGCCAATGAGGAGATCCTTTTAACAAACTTAGTATTTAGACTGGGTTCTCCCCAGGAATTGGTTTCGATGTTTTTGTTGTTGTTGATATATATATTTATGTACCAATATTTTGTTTTTAATTATTATGTTTTCAAGATCATATGGGCAACAACTAAGGCGGTTGGATGTGGGCGAGCTTTCTGCAGGCAGAATGAGAACATCACATTTGACCGATGGATTGTCGTCTGTAACTACCTATCCGGGTAAGGTGGGACCTTCTTTACATTCAAGAAAATAAAAAAGAACCACATATGAGTTATCGCTATATAGTTCCGTATTATAGTGAGTGGTCGTTACTAAGCAGGAAATAATTGCAAAGCTTCGCTCACTCTTATAAATTCAGAAACTGTAAAGTTAACATTCGAGCAAGCAAATTCAGCCCACTGGCATATTTTAATAGCAGAGGCACTTCCGACCCGTTTCTTTTGAAACCCTGCTAGCGTATCTTATGAACACATACCTAAAACTGTACCCCTTCAAAATCTTCGACCCCAAAAGACATTTTATTCTTTAGCGAGAAGGCATTAAAATAAATATTGTTGAAGTTAGAAGGCACAAAATCCTAGAACCAGTCCAAAACGAAAGTAGACCTATATACGCTTACAAGAAGCGATACACGAATTACAAGATTCACCCTCTTCGTTAAAAATATCTTGCAAATTCATCGGAACTGATTTCAATTAAATAATTACCTTTGCTCATGACCTTTTTACAACGTGTCTAAATGTTTACATTGAATCAGCTTATGAAACTCTTGGGACCTCCTAACCGGGGAAGAACCCCTAGATAAAACTCCTCCGGAAGGAACCTTAGCCTAGGAAATGTCAAATAGATAATAATCCTGTTACCGATTTTTAAAACCGCTTATATAAGCCAAACTAACGTTGTTTATTCATTGAGCGGAGTTACGTATAATAATGATGTATTGATATCGTGGTTCGTTATCAGTTCATCACAATTTCGTTTGATTTATATAATATTAGTTACTTCTTCTTGAGGGGGGGGGGGGGGTAGCGATGTGATTTGATTTGATGTTTATTTATTTTCCAGATACATCAGCACACACAACATGTATTTTTAACATTTATGGTCACTTAAAATGTTACACACAAAAAAGGGGTCATCATAATATTGAGCTGACGTCATAAGTAAAATGTTCATACATACATGTACATATTTAAACAATGCATAGCGGAAAGCGAAGGCCAACAAAAAATTAAGAGAGAGAGAGGGGGGGGGAGAGGGTGTGTGATCACTGAGTGCTCTATTGATTATAAATAGGCCTATACTTTTCAAAATTCATATCATATTTTATCAAGGTGTGGAATTATCGCCACATTAAAAGTACAATACAGACGTAAAACAAAACATTTGAACTGTAGTACTAGTAGACTTGGTGAATGTAACAACTCTAATATGTATTTACTTTATATATTTGTATATTTTTGTGTGATTTTAATTGATCCAAAATTTGTAATTCTTATTTTTGGGTGTATTGGTTATCTTTAGGGGTAACATACGAGGAAGGCAGCCATACATAGCTGGACCAAGCTGTTCAAGGTGTTCCTCTGGAAATGGGCAGTGCTATAAAAACAAATGTCGTAAGTACATTAGAAATGTTTAATAGTAAACCCCTCGGATGATTTATTCTTATTCTTTATTCTTAAGCAATGGATTGAGAATTTCCTTAATTGTCCCATTTGATAACCCACTGTTCTACGAACTGTACTTTGATGCTTTAATTAGTATTCATTAGGGTCCATGATTATCACGGTTTTTTCTTTTCTTTCTTATATGGGGCGCCCCATATAAATGCTTCCGCCATTGCTGGGGATCGCTGTGTATGCATTTCCTGTGTTACGGGAGCATGAGGATATTCATTTAATGAGCTTCTTGGTATTATTCCAGTATTGAAATTGATAACAAGAAAGATAGAAAATGACAAGTTTCATCGATTTTAATAAATGGCACAGAACGACTGAGACGAAATTTCATGCAAAGGCATTTCTAAACATTAGCCTTCATGCATGAAGCACATTAATGTCCAAGGAGTTACATTAGTAATGACAACATTTTTTCATTTCTAATTTTTTAGGTCCATGTTCGGAGCATACAGACCCCTGCGGTAAGTTAGAAATGCATCATAAATCATTTATTTAAAAGACTTTTCAAGATTAAAGTCTTTTCATGTTGATAAATATTTAATTTCTGATATCTCGCTCTTCATTTGTTCTGCTTTTGTATTTGTAAAATCTATTTAAAAAAAATTGTGTTTATGATGTCCCTAGACCCTAACTCTCTTCATTTCACTAATAACCCGTTATCAATTTTCTTTCGTCTTTGACCATGTTGAAAAGTGAACGCTGTGAAAATGGTAATAAGAAAGAAAAGGAATAGGTTAGATTGTCATTGTTGCAAGAAAAATCATATCTATAACTTTGTAATAGCGAGAAAATGACAAAGTTAATTTCAAGTGTGGACATACGAGAGTGGATCGAATAGAATCAGGGGTCGGGTTTGACCATTAACATGTTTACGATGTTTTGTTTCCACACAGATTGCAACCTTAAATGTCAAAACTGTGGAAAACTTGACCGTGAAAGATGCACCTGTTCGTGTCCAAAGGGCTGGCATGGAAACGAATGTGGAAGTAGGTATATTTTTAAATACAATATCAGTACAGTATTTAATGCAATAAGAATCCAAAAAAATAAACAGCTCTAATAATCCGTTCATCTGAATTCAGCTATATGATCAGACGAAACTGCATGTGCAATTTGTGATGTGTGATGTGATAAATTTAAAAAAGTGTGAACTTTGGGAGCGCTGTGTAGTTCAAAAATACGTAGAACTATATATATTTAGGAGGTAAAGACATCCTGTAAAAGAGTCATGGAAATTATGCGCAAATAGTTTAGAGGTAAGGATATAGCTGCAGGAGGCAGGAGAGGGGTAAAAGTGATTGCAGTCTCCCTATCCCCATCTCCGTAGTCTCTTTCTGATTGTTCATATCTTGTCTATTATACGTCAATGGCAAACTTACTTTGATACGATGTTGTTTAATTATATACACTTCGAGCGGCTGTCACAACAACAAGAACACATGAACCAAAATCTCTCTCGATTTTCTTGCTCGCTTAGTCGCTCGCTGATTCGACTCTTTTAGAAACTGGATAATTGATATTCACATAAGACTCACTATATACGCCAATGGCAGAGGTTTACTGAATCTGAACAAAACTCACTAAACTGTGGATATCACAATAGCATTCGATGCTCATACTCACTATCATTTAAACTATACGTCAAACTATTTTCATTTCCAAATAGAGAAGAATTCATCTTTATGCATATTTTATTCTTATATCACGTAACGCACATAACACATTGAACACAATACCGTGTCAGATATTATTTCTAAGCGATTGATCAAATAGGCATTCACGAACGTACATTGAGACTTTTTGAGATCATGTTCATTGTGATTCCAACGTATCAAACTGTCAAACACATTTCCAAACTCTTTGCCTTTCTCAATATTCTTTTTTCATTGCTTTTAGTTCAAGCTAAACAATACTTTTTGGAATATACATGTCCGTAGTTCTGAATTCATTCGCAGACCCAGACAGTAACACGATATGAAATAAACCGCGGGCAGACACAATCTTCTGCTCATCAACGCAATGATCTCGCGTTGCCATGGTTACGAAGTATTTAGAGAAATCCCTCTAATTGCTGCGATTTCCACTCCTTGACGGGGAGCAACAGACTGCCAGAAACCACGTGATATAAACTCCCGATTATGTTTCAAGCAATTACGATTGTACATGATAATGAAAATGCTACCCTCGAAATTATGTCTTTTTTAATGTTACTTAAGAGCGATAATGTCTCGTCTGTTGAACCAAAGAAAGTATACATGACACAAGGGTAGAAAAAAAAACATGGGAGTGAAATTTCCAAATGTCAATAGTATCGTCAAGATGTTTAAAAGTAAAGTCCCTGTTCTTAAAAATAAAAAAAAGTCATATAAAAATGCAACAAGAAATAACGAGACTTAGGATTCAAATTCATGTACAATAATCTCCAAGAATACTATAGGATCATAATTATTTGACCCACAATGTTATTGGATTGGGTATCACTTACCGGATTTAGTACATCCAGGGGAGTGTTTCACAAAGACTAAGATCGACTTTAAATTGGACTCAACTATGGCAGGCCATTCATGCCACTGGTTGCTCTCATCAGTATGATCTTAAAGGTAAAGACCAGTTATGGCCATGCGATTGCATTGTGAAAGAAATGTTGTGGAATCGATCAGAAAAGGTTGATCATCTAGCATCTAGCATCTGCAAGGTTCTGGAATCATCAAAATGATAAGAAATTTGGCCCGTTCTTCGTAAAGTTACAAGCACTATACACAGAAAGATGTATATGGGACTACCCTATATCTCTCACAGCCCATGAGAGAAACAAATTTACCAAATATATGAATTAGTAGGCGGTTTCCCGGCAAATTTTTCATCATCATGTATTAGTCAAAACATATTCTTTCACATGATTGGTAATGAGAGCTTCCATTTCATTTTTTGAAATTGGGGCGTTTCCAATACTGGTCTTTACCTTTAACTAAATCCATCTCCTCCTAGTTTTCGAGACCAAAGCTGTATACATCATTAGGCCATACCGTTTATATTCATGTATCTGCTTGACTCCCATTTCTCTCCCAAATGAATCATTCGCACTTCGAATTCGCAATAATAGGGAGAATATTTCAGAAAAGTATCATATACATGTATATATATATACTGTTGGTCATAATGGTGGAATATTATTTTTACCCCATGGAATGATTTTTACAATGATTTATTCCTAATAGATCTAGCTAATAGTATATATTCTCAGATGTTATTGAATATTAATTTGCGAGTGTTTGTTGTGCGTGACTGCTAAAGCATTAACAAGGGTCATAACTGACAGTAATGAGGATTAATGTCTCACAAAGGGGCACTAATATAGCTGATCGACACGGTTTTGATCCTGGGGCCTAACAGTTACGAGGCCATTGCTTTGCCACTGAATCATGACTGTACGCAGCGAGGGCCAGGGTACGGGGCAGCCCCCACAAATAAAAAAAAACACAAAGAAAATGCAATAAATTATCAATAAATCGTTGCGTTTTCCCCCGGTCCCTAGCAGAAAAAAATCCTCTGTGTGACCATGCATTGACCCATAATGCATTGCCATATTTAGTTTATGAGACATGAACTTCTTCCTTTCTTTTACTGAACCTCGTTTTAAAAAATTAGCAATGACTTTTACATGAAAGGCTAATTCGTATTTCTTATTTGTGTTTCTATTCATGCAGAGCCGTGTGTGGACACCCATGAGTATTGTGGAAGAAGCCCCGGATGGCCGGCGCGTTACTTCTGCCCATTCGCTCCCTACATACCTCGATATTGTCCACTCATGTGTGGTGTTTGTGGTAAGAGATATAACTTTTCTCTGTAAACTTTATCAACTAAATAGGCCTTAATTTTTTTCATTTTCATAATTTCAAATACTATATTACTATGGTAGGTTAGGCACGGCCGGCCGGTACCCCCCCCCGCCCACCCCCCCCCCCCCATTAAAAAAAACTTAGTGGTAAAGCTTGTGTAGAAATATTACCTCTTAATACATTTTTCCCAAAGTTGCGCCGCCCCTTTAACACAATCCTGGATCCAACCCTGGTAAATACATAGCCCTTGGGTGCTGATTGGTGTAAATCTCTTTTTCATATAATTTTAAAGTTGAGAACCCTTTTTTCCTCTTCACTCCCGTACGCTCCCAATGGCTTTAGGCTTAGCTGGTGTCATTAAAGACTCTAAGGGCTATTGTCCAGACCTATCTAAACCAGAGTTGTTTCCTTTCTTTCACAGAGGCTGAGGATCCTGATTTCGTTTGTGAAGAGACTAGCTCAGGTAGGAAACAACATAAATTGTTGAATGTTTGTGGACGATGTAACAAACAAGCATGACAAACACAATATTGTCAACGGTTGCGTAGGTGGGTCCGGCCATAATACAATTTGTTTACCCATCAGGAAGGTCTCATTAGCATCAATGCTTTTCTTCCATAGGGCCCTGCAATTATTATTACCCCAACAATTGCCAGGTACCCATTGACACCTGGATGGAGAGTGAGAAAAAATGATTAATGTCTTGCCAAAAGACATTGGTGCCGGGCTGGGATTCAAAACGTCGACCCGTTGATTGAGACTTAAGTGAAGAAATCACTATACCACGACATCATCACCAATTTACAGACATCAATGGGTGGGCATTGGTAGATAAAATGCGAATTACCCAAGTCCTCGACTGATGTGAGGTGTGGGGTATTACAATTTTCTTTCTCGTCCTTTCACCTCTTCCATCCAATTCCTCACTTCTTACTTTTCTTTTCGTAATGCTGTGATTGTGACGCCCCCTGTGCTTGTCCCTGTAGCTTATCAAATAAAAATTAACTCCGTTACATGCTACTCGGCAAAGGGGACTTCTTGTAACTCTTTGAAAAATAGAAATCTTCCTGCAACGTTGGAAGACACTTTTTTTTTCTTTAAATAATTTTACTTTTTGTAACTTGACGTAAGCTATAATATACACTGACTGACAAATTAATAATTTCGTTCCATTTTACAGATGGTGGATGGGAGACAACAGATGCTATGACAACTGACAACACTGAGGTTGGCATGACCACCGACAGAACAACACTTGATGACATCACAACGGACATACCAAGTTCATATAATGACATCACCAAAGGCATAACCACATCATATCGTGACGTCACAACAACACCTTTTCCGACGACGACGCTTGATGTCGAAACCGCCAGCCAAGAAATACCGTCTACTCAAAACCTTGACGAAGTTTCAGGAGAAACAGAAGGAATTGGTCTAGATAATGTTGTAACGACACCCTCAACGGAGGGCCCACATTGGGTAGAACAACTCGAACGAGAAATTCTTGATCGAGGCAAGCAAGTGAACTACGCAGCGAAGAGTACTGACGGGGAGTTTTCCAATCAGCTAAGATCGTTGATAACGAATACAAGCTATGTTGATTTGAAGGAAGGTGTAGAAATATCGGCGCAGAATGGAATACATGTAGAGAGGATAGTAGAATCTTCTGGTACAGACGGTGATGAGATGGAAATCATCTCAACAACTCAACTACCAGTATTATCATCTTCTGTAACAAGGAGTTCCAGTGGAACCGATTCGGCGTCCTTGACAAAAGACATGGTCATGACTAGAACGGAAGCGTCTGAAATGATCATACCAACACATGCTCTCAGTACTAACAATCACCTGTCTACGTCAAGTGAGGAATATAGTACGGTGTCGCCCGATTCATCAATCTCGCACCGACCAACAACATTTGTTCCAGAACTACAAAGGACAGAAAACACTAAATCAAATTCGACAGTGGGAGCTACGATTACTGAAACTAAACGGCCAATAGAGACCTTGCTGGAAGCAGCCACCTCCAGAACCACTGTACAACAAGTCACACCAACAAACAGGGTTAACGACGTGTCAACCCTTGGGGTCTCGACTGAAGCAACGTCTGCAAAGTATCTTTCAACTTTAAATTCAACAACTGATCTCTCAAAAACCAAAAATGAAGGTGTGAAAGTCCAATCCATTACAGGTGCTTCTGGAGACCTGACGAATGTTCCAGTGTCCCGAAAACAACTTGGTTTCATCTCCAAAGATCTTTGCGGGAGAACTTTCACAGCTGTTGCAGCATTGGGTCCAACGCTCTTCCTTTTCCAGGTGAGAAATCATGTGCTCTTGAGGACAACTCAAATATTTACCCTCTAATGCCTTTTGTCATTGTTTAGAGGAAAAACATCATCAACAACATCATCATCTATATCAACAACAACAACAACAGCAACAATAACAACAATAAAACAATACAAATTATAACAAAATTGTAGGATCATGTAGGAAAAGATAGAGTTCTTTTTAACCGATTTCATCTTCTTAGTATTTAGTTCATATTGTAGCGAAATGTCATTCAGTCTTCGATATTTTACTCTACCGTGATGACATTATATATCACATTGTTTACAACAGTTTTTCATTTTCATTTCATTAATAGGTGAGTCAAAGCCACAACGATCATAAACATAGTGGCATCAAATGTTATTCTTGAACCAATCTGTATAATCTTTGCTTTATTCCTCTCCCAGGGACAACATCTCTGGCGTGTCAATGTATCGAGTGGACAAACTTTGTCATCTGAGAAGGAGACTGTACAATCTTACTTTGGCCTCGACGGACAGAAGGTGACGGCTGCTTTCTATCGTGAAGCAGTGGATGAGTGGACTATTTTTACATGTAGGTTCCCGTCCTCGGCTTCAGCATAATAATTTAAGCAAATATAAAAAACAGAAAATTATTTCTATTAACACTACCAACCCTAGAAAATTTAAAAGAAGAATGGATCTTATCCGTAATCCTTCGTGGATATTAGCAATGATTTGTTTTTGTAATTCAGATGTTAGTTAACATGGTAAACGCCCGGTATGACATTGCGACATTGGTAATGCCTTTATTGTCCTAAATTGGGTGAAATGAAATGATGGTGGATTTTTCTTCGATGAAAACAACAATTTTTATATCTCAGACGGAAAAATGTGGAAAAATATAGATGCTAAAACGGTATTTAATCCTTTATTGCCTCTCGTAGACTCGTACTTTTATTTTTTCAACAAAGGAGTGAATTTGACTTATTTCATTATGTCGGATGAAATCCCGAAGGGATGTTGATGCATACAAGCATTAGTATGTTAAATGTTAAAAGGTCAAATGTTTTGTTTTAAAACACTTTCAAAATCACTTTTTGTTTTTACGACAGATTCATATTCTTTGACGCAAATATCATCAGCTTTATAGCACAAACGCTTGTTGACAAAGAAAACACACATTGTCACTCAAATATTATTTGCCTGTCCTTTTTATCAGACATCGATGTCTTCATCATCAGAAACCACTCACAATCACAGAAAACCTCCGACTTCCATCGAATGCGAGTAACCGAGCTCGGGATACCTTTCGGGGTCGTCGTCGACGCCGCCTTCCACGACGACAGTCGCAAGAAATCGTACCTCTTCACGAACCGATGGGTGTGGAGGTATGATGACGAGAGGGGCGATTTGGACATCGGCTACCCAAGGCGAAGCCATCATGAGTTTCGTGGACTGATGCAACATCGCCCGTCAGCTGCGGTAACTTTAAATGGTAAGGTTTCTTATAAACACTCTAATTGACCCATCTTCGGAAGTTGGATTTTCACAGAAGAAAAAAAAAATCAATTCGAATTAAATGAATCAAGTCAAATTAAATTAAAGAAGATTGTTGCTTCGTCCCCCCTCATCGGCAATCATTTTGTTAAACTTTGTATGGATCGTGCATACGATCGTTAATCTGTTTATTATTCGAAGTCTTTATCAAATTTGTTTAGTTTATGATTTAATTATTTTTCAATTTATATCTCTTCATCTCCATCAGCAATATTTAATATCATCAACAATATTATCGTCTTCGTCATCTTTATTCCTTCCTCTTTGTCTCTATCCCTCTTCTCATTATCCATCCTCTTAAAAATAATGCTCCTTCATTTTATACTAAAACATATTCTCATATTACATTACGCAAATTAATCTTTGCTTTTACGTATTCATTATCTAATTATTCTTAATACTCCTATCCTTATTTTATGCAGGAAAGCACTTCATCTTGTACGGAAAGAAATATATGGAAATCGATCGAGATACACATCAAATTGACGAGCGGAGAGGGGAACACTTTTTCGAAGATCATTTCGATTGCTTAATAGATAATTGATAACACATGACTCCCATCAGCATAAGTACAACTTTGGAATATTTTTGTCAGGTGCTTTCAGATTCTTTGAAGCTTATTTTGTTTAATACCCTAAATTATTATCAATTACTACATGTGGTTTGATTTTATAAGGAGAGTCTCTGAATGTAGTTGGTTGGGATATACTTACATTTGCATTTCTGTCCCTTCCTTTCTTGGTCAAACTTTGCATATTTCTGAAGAAAAACAAATCAGAACCCGAAATCCTGATCATGATTGGTCTTTCATGTCGTAAATGTATTACTTCCCCCAGCAGTGCCTATATGCTGTGAGAGAGCAAGTCGAGCGCCCGATGGGAACCCGAAATCATATGGTTTAGAAAGTAATGTCGGTTGAAATTTGCTTCTCATTCTTGACAATGGATCCTCACGTCCAAAGTAGAGGTGGATCACGCAGGACTATGAGAACCGGTGGGGGGGGGGGGGGGGTGGGGTGTTTGTCGTAACATGTAGTATAGGCGTATTTATAGCTGAATGAATTTTGTATTGATAGTATGAGTATAGTGTAGTTCTAGTAGTAGAAGTAGACTAGCAGTAGTAGTAATAGAAGTAGAGTAAGTAGTAGTAGTAGTAGTAGTAGTATAGTAGTACACTTATCGCAACCCTCTTCTCCGGCCATTAAGGCTGTGCAGTAAACATTTAACACATTAAACACTTTTTTTCTCTCATTTGATTTTCAGCATTATGTATAATATGTGTATATATTATTACTACATCCAAAGTCTGATCGAATGACTTTTGCTTCATATCAAGGTGTACACTTGTAAATATCATACAGGCCTAGGTCTACATGAATTGCAAAATATATAGCTTCATTTTTTGTACAATAAATATCTTGTTTCTTTCCAGATTTCATCCTTTCTAAGACGATATCAAAGGAGGAGAGAGGGAGGGAGTGAGAGAAAGAGAGAGGTGGGGTATGGAGGGAGTGAGAGAGAGAGAGAGAGATATATATATATATAGAGAGAGAGAGAGAGAGAGGGGGGGGAGAGGGGAGAGAGAGAGAGAGAGAGAGAGAGAGAGAGAGAGAGAGAGAGAGAGAGAGAGAGAGAAGGGGGTGGGGCGGGAGCAAGTGGCACAATAAGATACTTCAGTTTTAGATTTGGTTGCATACTGCGTGACTTGCAATACAATTTTGTGATATTGCCTTCCACCCTTTCCGCCCAAGTATCGGAATCCAAGAATGCGGTTACAATAAAATGAATGAAGAATAAAAAGTACTGCTCTAGCTGGGAAGATGATTTCCTTTTTTTTCAGAATATAACAATTATACATGAGACCCCTTTTCATGAAATCCTTTTTTCATGGGTCTTATCTTTAGAAAAAGAATTCATTGAACAATGACCCTACTTTCACGCCTGCTTTTTTGGTCTGATATATTAGGACTAGATTTTTCTTTAATAAATCTAAACCACTCTGTACTATTAGTTTTACTGATGATTGGCTTATATCATGGGCAGCGATTTCTGTTTATGACCGGGGGGGGGGGGCGAAATGCGAGAGACGAAGGAGCAGTGGCGTAATGACGAAAAACGTTTGAGGGGCAGAAAAAAAAATCCGCATCACCACTATTCTTACATGTTACATGCAGGCCCTCCGGACTGTTTTTCAAAGTAGGGGGGGGGGGCAAAGTATTTACGATCAGGTAGAGCAAAGCAATTGGAGCGTAAATTGGGGTGGGGGCAGGGGCGAAGCTCATGAGGCGCAGGGGTTTTAGGCATTTCATTAAGGTCAGATGAGCATCCAGAGGCCCGCCTTATGGCCCTGGTGGGGTGGGGCGAAGCCCCGAAAGCTCAGGGGTTTTAGGCATTTAATAACGGTCAGATGAGCAACCATGGGTATGCTTTTGGGCTCTTGGTAGGGTCCAGGGGGCAGAGCCCCGCAAGCTCAGGAAAAAAAATCATCATATCGAATTAGATAAACCACGTATGATTTTTTTTTTTTTTTTTGGCGGGGGGATGGGGCAACTGACCCCCAGCGTATAGTGAACGAGAGGGTGAAGGTTTTTGAAGTTTTGTTGTACTAAAAAATTATAGTGTAAAAACAAGCAATATATTTTTTTCACACTTCACTTTTCTTCACTCTACAATATCTACTTGTACATTTTGAAGGATATTGAGAAGATTTTTGCATTTGTATTTGTCTAAACGCTGCACTCTTGGGTCCTCCAGAACCTAAAGGTGTGTTGCAGTCTTCAGCCAGTATTTGCTATCCTTTTTATTTGTTGCGCTTTTTCAAATCTTCCGGGGATTGGGGGAAGAGGGTGGGGGGGTACGATCCCCCCTAAAAAAAAATCGAGGGGGAACGTGTCCCGTCCCCCGGGTTCGCCGGCCCTGGCTCATATTATAGTCGACACTGGCGTATTGACGGGGGGGGGGGGGGGGGGGGGGGGAGGAACTCAAATAAAATTCAAACGTGGTTTATTTCCAATTCGATACCAATGATTAACAAATGTTGCTGAATTAAATATCATGATTTTGCCAGGGGGGGGGGGGGGTGGGTTTTCTCTCACTTTTTTGTAATTTTTTTTTTTTTCTTCTTTATGCCCCCCAAAAAAGTTTTTGCTCATTAAGCCACTGATAGTCGACATTACTTTGTAGTACACAATTTACTACATTATTGATTAATTAATTAATACATCGCTTGGTATCATATACATTCCCAAATGGAGTAAGTGAATAGAAGTAATATAGGAAGATCAGAAAAATAAGGGAGGGAAGGAAAGAAGAATGAAGAATGGAAACGCTTCAGCAGTTTTCTCAATAATGACGTCATATAACAATGACGTAATTGAATTTAGAAGTATTCGACGACGATCTTCCTGAAACTCATTTCGTAAGCCTGCCTTAGAGTCTTAGACGACGTAATTACCGCTAAATATGACATTGAATCAAGCAAACACGAAAGATGGATCCCTTGTGTTGCAAGGAGACCGGTGAGTTTTGTTTATTATTTCCCAAGTCTCAGACTTTCAGCTGGGTTGAACATATTTACAATCACAGAGAGTGAGATGGCAGTCCCACATATTGCTATTTATGTTTGTTTATGTGTGACCGTTTAAAAAAAATATGTTGATGTTTTTCTATAATTTTATTGGGTTGTGGGTGGTTTGTGAAGTTTTTTACAGTACGAATACTAGTAGTGTATCTAGGGATGGGAACATGGTGGTGTCACTTCATATCGACTTTCTGTAATTAATGTAAGCAATTGATATTTAAAAATTCCACGCCACGGAATTGGAAAAGGATATTTTTTAGGGATGTTCGCCAACATTGACCATTTGATGATTCAATGAAATGTTTGAAATAAACGCTCCTACATGGCAAGATGGCAAGAGGTCTAACCGTAAAACTATTATTATTATTATTATTGTGTGCATTTCTTGGTCACAGCACACATAGGAGCATCACTATCCTGGCTGTGTAGTAAACTTGAAAAGAAATATTCAAGGCTAGATATAAGAAAATACTTTTTTAGCAATAGAGTCATGGAACTGTGGAATGGTCTCCCAGAAAACATTGTGGCAGCTGGGTCGGTAAACTCATTTAAGAATAGACTTGATAGTCACTGGTCAAAGAATGCAAGCCTTTTGTATGAGTTTAGGTGTTGTCTATTGTCTCATGTTATTACACAACCTCCTCCCTCCACAAATAGCAGTAATCATGGAAGAATCCTGGATCGATGAACAGGCTTAGACCTACAACATTGTGTATTAAAGTAAAGTAAAGTAAAGTAAGTAAAAGCTGTGCTTTTGATTCTCAACATTTCAAACACCATTGTACAAAAATCAACTGATTTCACTCACAATCGGTACTTTAGTGACAATTGATGACACCTAAATAGCAGTAAAATACATTTGTTTAACTTAGTGATCAATGTTAAAAAGAATAATTTAAAAATTCAAATTGTAAGTCTACTGTCAAACTTTGCTTACAGCCGCATCGGCATGATTGTATGCAGTCTATGCAATATTGTGTGGTGTGTATATTTGTGTATAGGTCTAATAATACCTGCCTCACAGCAAGTATGTAGTGCTAGAGGTCAATACGCATTAGCATTGACTCTCTATGCTTTGCTGGAGTGGGTCACAGCGCGAGAGCTGAGAGGGAGAGTGCTCAAATCTTGGAGGCAAATCGACCGCAACAAAAATTAGCCACCAAGTTCTAATTGGAGAGTTCCTTCTAATATACTTTATTCCCAATAAAAAATGCCTCGGTATTTATTTGTAATATAATTTAGATTGTGGTCTTTGAAATAAAAACAAACATATATATATATATTTTTTTAGTGTGATCATAGTTCAGGATGGAGTGGAGGCCTCCTTTGAAAAGAGTCCTATGATGGATCACTTTAAAGGAACAAAGAAGGGCAAAGTCTATCTCACGTCACTTGTGGTAAGTAGTCTAGAATGTTAAGGCTTGTTCAGAACATATAGATATGATACGTTAAACCGCCCCCAAAATAATACGCTGTGGTAAGTAAATAGCAATAGGACAAAGGTCCTATGCATATCCACTTAACTCTGTGTAAGAAGATGCAGAAATGTGAGGCATATAACACTTGCGTCATTTGTGCGGGTTATGCATTGTCTGCAGATCTTAAAGGTAAAGACCAGTTATGGTCATGCGATTGCATTGTGAAAGAAACGTTGTGGAATCGATCAGAAAAGGTTGATCATCTAGCATCTAGCATCTGCAAGGTTCTGGAATCATCAAAATGATAAGAAATTTGGCCCATTCTTCGTAAAGTTACAAGCACTATACACAGAAAGATGTATATGGGACTACTCTATATCTCTCACAGACCATGAGAGAAACAAATTTACCAAATATATGAATTAGTAGGCGGTTTCCCGGCAAATTTTTTATCATCATATATTAGTCAAAACATATTCTTTCACATGATTGGTAATGAGAGCTTCCATTTCATTTTTTGAAATTGGGGCATTTCCAATACTGGTCTTTACCTTTAAGCAGAGGGTGAATCTTCTATCAAAATGCCGCGCCCACTTTTCTATGAAATGCGTATGAATGGGACAACCTTGCTAATTTTATGATTAGTTCTAGTTGTTGTATTAGTAGTAGTAGTGGTGGTGGTGGTGATAAAGGTTGTTGTGGTGGCAGTGGTAGTAATAAAAAGAATGGGCAAACTTTCACTGGGTAGACTGGTAGAGGACCCTTGATGTGGTTCATTACTGACAACATACACACCACAAAGGGCAGGTTAGCATCGTTGCAGATAAAAAAATTAATAGGGAAAGGTCATTTGGCAGCAAGTAATTGAAAAGAGATTGAGAGCTAACTGCAAACTGCAATACTCTTTCTGTCTCTTTGGCCATTTGGCTTAAAAACTGAGTCCTTTTCTGACTTGTGTCTTTCTTTACAGATGGCCTTCGTCCCCAAGTCTGGTCTGATGAAATCCCTGGCAGTCCCATTTACCAACCTGAAGAACCTTGAAATCAAGCAACCCATGTTTGGAGCTAACTATCTCGCTGGCAACATTGTGGCGCAACCTGGAGGTAAGTCGGAGACCCCATTCAATCTAAAAAAAAAAAAAAATGATAATAATGACTCTCTCTCTCTTTCCTTCTTTCTCTTTATCTCTCTCTTTCTCAGTGTTTCTCTGTTTCTGTCTGACCCCCCCCCCCCCCCATTATCTATTTCTCGATAGCCTTTCTCTCTCTCTCTCTCTCTCTCTCTCTCTCTTTATCCCTCTCTCTCTCTCTCTCTCTCTCTAACTCTCTCTCACTCTCTGTTTCTGCCTTTCTCTCTCTCTCTCTCTCTCTCTCTTTATCCCTCTCTCTCTCTCTCTCTAACTCTCTCTCACTCTCTGTTTCTGTCTTTCTCCCCTACCCTCCCACAATCCCTCTTTCTGTTCTTTCTTTTGATTAATTCTTGGTATTCTTTTCATTGGCTTGCAGGTGGCTTTGAAGGTCAGGTCAAGTTTAAGTTGGTGTTTAATAATGGAGGTGCTATTGATATGGCACAGGGTCTAATGAGAGCCGTCAAACGAGGTAAGTCTGTCCTCTGACAGACAGATGTTGTGAGATTTATGGAAAATGTCCTTTTATTTCTTTTCTTCTCTTTCTTTTCTTTCCACAAAAATTTATCCCATTCGTTGTATAAATGAAGCCCTTTGAGTAAAAAAAAATTAGATTAGTGCTGTATTGAATTCAGAACCAGTTTAGCTTTGATAATACATTAGTCTTTGATAAATGTTGAGGTGTCATTTTTTATTAATTTCTGCCAGTGGGAGTAGTAATTCATCTCTAGAGAATTTGGGGCATATGCTGCATACGGTATACTTGCTTTCATAGGCATTCTAACTTTAAAAATCAGACAAGTATGATTAATCAGTAAATAAGATCAGTAACTCTTTTCTAAATCTTCTAACATATACCTGTACCAATCAAGCATTGGTTATGATAATGATAATCAAATTTGTTATAATATGTTGTTTTTTCTTCTGGACTTTCTTCATTCACAGCACAAAACGCCCCTCGCCCTGCTGCCACCCCCAATCCACAGCAGCAGATGTACCCCGCCCCTTACCCAGGGGGTTACCCCCAGCCGTCCATGCCCCCTCAGCCTCAGCCTGGCTACCAGAACGGTGGAGCTTACTACCCCCCTCCTCAGGGTGGGATGTACCAGCAACCGACCGCTCCCTACCCCTCACCAGGTACCGCCTACCCCCCAGGTATCTATGAGTTCCACTTTTAAATTGTCTTCCTTAGACATTAGTAACCCATTTCATTTTGATAATGATAGTTGTATCCATCACTTGGTATGAATTTGATTGTTCTAAAATTTCCAATCAACGTTATCAGAGTAACGTTGTATGTTGAACATCTTATTTCACATTGATAGTGATATTATAATGATTTTAGTTGGTATGCATTCGATTGTTACAACATTTTCTTTTCAATTAAGACATCAGACTTTGTTGAATCTTTTCATTTTGAGATCCCCATCAATTATAATACAGTTGCACATTTATTTATTTTTTTCATTCATTAAATTAAATGTACATCATAGCACTTCAATTTGAAAAACCACTTCAAATAAACACTCAAAATTAACAGCTCTCCCAACAAATTCTAATTACCTTGTTAACTTGGAATATCCAGAAAGAATCAATGCATTTCAACAATTCAATCATACATCCTTGCAATTCTGACAAATATTACATTAATTAATATGTGTGTTACATTGTTTGCATTCAGTACTTGTCATGCATTTGGCTATTGCAGAGTATTTTGTTTTTGGTAGCATGAATACGGTAATCATATTTTTTGTTTTTTGCCACTCATCATTTAGGTCAACCTATGCAGCCGCCTCCACCTTACTATGGAAGCGCCCCTCCTAATGGTATGTATCCACTGAATTATATTGTGTACTGTGGGCAGTACGCCTCATTGGGATTTTCAATATTCCAGAATTAAACAATATTCTCAATGTACCGTCTTTGTTTTAAGAATCAAAAAGTTATCATAAGCAATTTTGTCTGTATAGTACACAAACAACAATATATCTCTGGACAGTTTGTTTCACAACACAGTTGTAACACAGTTGTAACACAGTTGTAACACAGTTGTAACACAGTTGTAACACAGTTGTATAACCCTAATTTACATGTACTCCTATTTTCTATGTGATAAACTTATCAGAATGCCTTTTATAAAGGACATTTTTCTTCAAATGCTATTTCTTTTTCACCAGACCTTGAAGTTGTTTTTTAATATCTCTTAACAGATATTTTACTTTAGAGGTCAGTCCTCATGATAACAAACAATTTAATCGTACTCTTTGAATTTCTACAGAAACTTTTCGAAGCTAAAAAAAAAGGATATATAATTCCCTTCTTCAAAGATTGCAAATGACCTCAATATCATGAGTAAGTTTAGAAAATTGCACTATGGAACGTAATCAAGCTTATATGTGCATATAGTACATCTGCCCATTGTCATGTTTTTTTCTTTTCCCCCATTTTTTCCCCTCAGTTGGAACAGCGCCCCCTCAGCCAGCTTATTGGGATCCTAACTCACAGAATGTCTACATTCCACAAGCAGAACCGGTAAGTTATACAATGTAGATTTCTGCCATCTGATAGATTTTATTGCATGAATATGGCATAAAATAATGATGATTGTTTGCAAAGATTTGTAGACAAGTGAAGATTGTTTATGAAGAATGTTGTCAATTGCAATGCAGATTTAAACCTTTCGTAAGAATTTGTACTTCAGGTAATTCTTGTGTAGTAAGCTTTGTGGATGATATTCATTAAATATTTTGAAAATGTAAAGAGCATTGTCATACAAGTTGCAAATTGGCAACCCATATCTGCACTTCATTCATGCTGTAAAGTGAATAGGTATTTTACACATTTGCTCTTTTTACACTTTTTCCTTGAAGGGAAATACTTTTTTTCTACTTTTGTTTGTCTTCTTTTGTTTACTTACAGACGGCTCCCCCTCCACCATACACAGAGAAGTCGAAGACGGATTAAGCCATCACTATCCAAAACAAATCTTTGATTTGTCATCTGTGATTCTACAACTCAGTGGTGATTATTTCATCTTCATTCAAATTAAACACTGATCATGTTTAGGAAGGCACCATCTTGTATTGAGCTAGACCAAGTTCAATCTTGTCTGATGATACAAACCCTAATGTGACATAGCGTCTGTTTGGAGCTAGAAAGGAAGAGTAAATGCCCTTCTGGCCTAAAACAGATAATATTTTATAGAGTGCTGGGCTAGTAGGAGATGGATGCTAATATGAAGCTTCTACATAACATAGCAGTGGCAGCTGTAGTCTGTTGCTGTTGGAAACACAGTTATTGTATAAAGTAAGGGTGTTTGTTAACAAAGTAAAAAGCCGAACTTGCATGTTTGTATTTCAGGGAAGTAGTCCTACATTTAGTTTAAGATCACTCGAAAATGAAAACATGCACATTTGCCATTTTGATCAATATATATTACATAATTCTTTATTTCACTGTGGATGCTAGGAAATCATTTATTGCATTGATTGGTTGACCATTAAGGGTTACCCATAGATAGGTGCTCCTGCTTGTTTCATGTGGGCCACATGTTATGAGTTATAAAGCTCATAAACAATGATTATTTTGGGCAACAAAAAGCTTTAATGTTTAATCATACAATTTGGTTATATACATTTCATGTACAGATATAATTAAAAGAATCTGAAGCAATGCTCCATTTTCATTTAACGTGTTGTAATTTGCCCTCAGTGCAGTTGCTATTTTATATGTATATAATGATAGTAGTGTCATATACACACAAAGAAGCTATGTATTGAGGCAGTCATTTTAAATATTGTTTGTCTGCCAATGCATGTGTCTCTTCTCTTCTGGTTATATCTCTCTCTTACTCACTTCTCTCTCTCTCTCTCTCTCTCTCTCTCTCTCTCTCTGTCCCCCCATTCTCTTTCTTTCTTTCCATGCATGTATCTTCATCCCTTTATGCTGTTATTTACCTCATTCTATTTAGAGTTGTATTAGGAATCCATTTATTTTAATCTTTGCAGAGTTTTATCACATCTTCATATATGTTGATTGTGAAAAGTATTTCTGTATACTGATTTATACAATACCATGATGTATAGAGAGTTTCTATTTAAAGTGATAAATGCTATTCAATTATGATTTAACCTTATTTATGTTAGAACATAAGACTTGGCGATACTCTATATAATTATGTGAGCTATACTCTGTATGTACACGGCTTTCTATCTATCCTGATAATGACAAGAAATCATAAGTCCATCTCTGATGTTTGAATCATTCCTGAACCCCAGTCCATATAGTGTTGTTCTTTCAAGCTGTCTACTCATACATATCAAGGCTTTTAATTAATCAACTGCTCACAGATATGGGAATTGGTAGTAATGTATGGTCAGTTGCCATGTTCGTGCAGTTGTGCTCTGTGTATAGGGGAAGGGTATATATATATGCACTTGGATGCAATGGTAACTGAAGAAAGGCTATTGCTTCATCTGTTTATTCTGGTGAATGTCCACCAGCATCTAGCATAGTTTTGTTTCCTTGTGTATGATGAAGTAAATTCCATTTTATGAAAGAATCCCATAATTCAAGATATATATACAAAAATTAAAATATCAATCAAATTTGTAATATTAGAAAAGCATCTATATTTTATTCATTCTATAAGTTTGGTATATTCTTGTGGGAGCTCAAATTATCAGAAGCATCAAGATCTTGTTGAGAGTTACAAACTTTTGAGAGTAATATCTCCACATCTTGCATCCTTGCGTAAATTTGAGTATTCATGAGCAATGTTAACACATCTATATTCCTCCTTTGAAGTAATGAAAAAGGCCCTCTAGTGGCCTTTTGCATGTAGTTTGGTATTTGATGCAGAGGGGCACGTTGGCTCATGCTGTACTTTTCCTTGAAGTGCTGCAGATTTGGAATTAGTGTAGTTGTTGTGACAGATAGTTATAATTCCGCATATTAGGTTCTTTATATTTACATTATTGAAATGTGGTACATGTTTATCATTTTCAATTTTGCTATATTATGTGTTCATATAATATGTATAGTCCTTATATTGATCCAATAACATTCAATGCTTTTAATGTAGGCTTCACTTGACATATTCAATCTTGTTTAATACATTTAAGTGATTGGACAGGGTTTTAACATTGAAACATTGCCACATTTTTATTGGAGTTGCGAAAATTGATGTTAGTTTTATTGCACTCAAGAATGTGATGGGTTTCATTGTAAAGAACTAATAAGAAATGGTCAATCCATACTAATGAAGCTAATTTCACTTTGTTTCATAAAATTGTGATATCTATGAATGAAAAAAATGTTAAAGTTAAAATTGAGTTGAAATTCATATTGGTATCCGAACAGGGCATTTGAGGTATGTGAAGTGATTTTTTTTTTTATGCAAAGGTATCTAATTAAAATGAGAGTAGTCAAATATGGTTGCAAAAAGAAATCCCCATTTTAAAGGTAAAGACCAGTATTGGAAACGCCCCAATTTCAAAAAATGAAATAGAAGCTCTCATTACCAATCATGTGAAAGAATATTTTTTGACTAATACGTGATGATAAAAAATTTGCCGGGAAACCGCCTACTAATTCATATATTTAGTAAATTTGTTTTTCTCATGGTCTGTGAGAGATATAGGGTAGTCCCATATACATCTTTCTGTGTATAGTGCTTGTAACTTTCTGAAGAATGGGCCAAATTTCTTATCATTTTGATGATTCCAGAACCTTGCAGATGCTAGATGATCAACCTTTTCTGATTGATTCCACAACGTTTCTTTCACAATGCAATGTTTCTTTCGCATGACCATAACTGGTCTTTACCTTTAACCAAAAAATAACGTAATGTGTCTCCAAGGGGAATTTGGATAGCTAAATAAAATTTGTAATATTTATAAATTTACACATTGCATTATAAAGGTTCTTATGGTATTGTAACCTGCTTTGGGGGAAAGTATTTGCAACCTTGTTGTTGATTTAAAAATACAAAATAAATATATATCAATGGTTATTAAGAATACAAAACAATGTTGTTTCTATCAGATGTACAACTTTTTTGTTGGTGTGTGTCTATAGTTATGTAGACAAGTATGATTGTTGTAACAATTTTTTAGGGTACAAAAAGACTTAGGATTTTATTTTTGAAAAAGAGGTGGCGACCGGTGAGATTAAATGGATGTAACAAGTAACATTTATTCCATGTTATTGCATATGAACAATGAAAATTAAACCAAATTATCATGCTCTAAGGTATACTAGGAAATACTACTACATTGTAATTAATGGTGATGGTTTAGTGTAGATCATTATACATGTATATTTATAGAGCGAATGATTTTTATATGATACTAATGATTTATATTTGTATTATTCAATAAAGTGCAATTTGTAAATTCATCATAATAATGGCTCTTCTTTCTTTCTTTTTTGGGGGTGTGTTTTTGATGCCAGAACCTCTTGTTCTAGCATGTATTTATGTATTTCATTTTCTTATTCTTATGAATCATTGGTTGATACTAAATGTTTTGAGGAGAAGTAGGATTATACACTGAATTACACATATTTATCAAGCAGCAGCAGAGCCAGGATTTTGAAAATGATTTGGAGGGGAGGGGGGGGGGGGGGAGCCAAACTCCAAACACATGCAACATCGCAGTAGTTGGCTACATGTGATCGGAGTGAGCACCTTTTGTGCGCCAGTCAGTTTCCTCTGCTGCTCGTGCTCATTCATGATTTGAACCATATTTTTCATTATATCATGAAATGCTCTTTATGTATCCCGAAATTTTCAAGAACATACCGTCGATATGTATCAATAATCCACTTAATTACAACTCCCCCCCTCTCTCCATCTCTCTCCTTTTCAATGCGAGGAAACTTGCTGCCGATTTGCACAGGCGCTGAAATCGTTTGCCTTCGCTCAATATGCTATCGAGCATTCTGCTAAATTAACCCCAATTTAAGATCGTAATATCCTTTTACTTTTTCAGCTAATAATGAATGTCTAAATACTACGACTGTGAGACCTTGAACCAATTTAAATCTAGAACACACATTCGCTATGTTACCTCGTTTGAAAAGCATCGAGTCTGGCTGCGTTTTCATGTATCATTCTTATCAATCATGTTCCAGATCATTTGATGGAAAAGGATGAGAACATAATCTTAGGGGGGAACGCGATTCTTTCTATCAAGTACATATTAGCGTGAGATAGAGGCGGAAGCGAAGATGGATAGCATGCAGAGAGACGGAGAGTGTCGGGCAGGCAAAGAGGAAGAGTGAGAGATAAAGAAGCGATCGAGAGACAGAGGAGAGAAAGAGAAAGAGAGCGGGAAGAAAGAAAAAAAAAAGGGAATTTAAAGAATAATGTAAAAAGGAGACGAAAGAGAGAGAGAGAGACGAGAGAAGAGAAACAGAAAAACGAAAAACGAGAGAGAGGGAGAGAGAAAGAGAGAGAGAGAGGGGGGGGGGGAGAGAAAGAAGAGAGAGAGAGAGAAAAAAAAGAGAAAGAGATGCCGTAGTCAATCAGGGATGCGAATCATACAAAATGAATACCTGCCAATATATATTTAAAAAAGAGGATAATTGACACATTAAGTGGAGATGCAGAGCACTTTATTTAATAATTGCATTTCGTCACAGGCATATGTCATAATTATGATATATCATCATTCTAATTTCTTTACCTCAAGCGAGAAAAAAATATTGCCATTCGTCCGTAAGGAGAACAAATTATGACTGAGAGATATCATGAAAGACAGTTTGTCGTATTAAATCATAAACTCGACAATCAATTCCAGTTTAAAGCGATCCAAATTCCGTCAAGTGTTATTCGAAATGAAATGTTGTTTTCAAATCTGTTCCAGTCTGGAAAGTAAACTGAATGTTTAAACGATTATCTTTGAAATTATATATCTTGATTCAATGAGAGTATTGAGTTAATTTAACTTGTGCCATTTCAATTGAATGATTAACGACTTGAAACGTAGTTATTTTTTTCATTTAGAATGAATATCTACTCATAACCTATATTAAGTTGAGCGATATACAATGTGATTTGATTTGTATCGGTTAACTTATGAAGGAAAAAGCAGATCAAATAAATTTCGCTATTTTGTTTTCAAAAGGAAAAAGCAATTGTTCCTTTTCTCTCTTTTATTCTCCGGATCCCTCATTTTTTAGTTTGTCGTATGACATCATAACCTCGACTATCAATTACAGTTTTAAGTGAGCTAATTCCGTCAAGTGTTATTCGAAATGAAACGTTGCTTCAAATCTGTTCCAGTCTAAGAAAGTAAACTGAATGTTCAAACGATTATCTTTGAAATTATATATCTTTATTCAATTACAGTAGTCATCTAATTTAACTTGTGCCATTTCAGGAAAACGATTGACGACTTAAAACATGATTATTTCATTTAGATCCGTGTATGAAATAACTAATGAAGCTCTTTACGTAACCTTTATTAAGGTGAGCGATATACGTTTCGATTTGATCTTTACTGGTTATCTTTCTAAAGAATAAGCAAATCAAATAGAATTCACTATTATCACCTACCTATCACCTACTTTCTATGTTCAAACTATTTTGTAATCGAAACATTTGCCAAACATAATCGCGGAACAATCTATTCTATTTTTTTCTTCTTTTTCTCTCCTGCCCCCCCCCCCCCCCATTTGTTATAAATCAAAGTACAGTACAGTACAGTGCAGGATCTGATAGAAAAGGGTTGATATTTACGTTATCTCAGTTTCGAAGATGCACCTGTAAAGTCTTTGTCCGGGGGAATAAACTCAGCTCACCTATGATCGATGATTTGTCGAGACACATTCTTCTGCTCCGTCACTCTCAATTAGCCACGTCGATCCAATAATATCATCATGAAAAACAAAAGGAGGGACACCCTCACTAATTGCCAGTATTTTAAGCCGTGTCGTTTTAAAGGTTATCTCGAGTCGTGAAAACAAAATCTTTTCATCGCACTTGTGGATATCAACTGACATGTCTTATGGCAATTCTGAGATGCTGAGAACTTCATTTCTTTTGACAAAGAAATGTGTCATTGTGTCTTTCAGGATTCTATAATTTTGCATTCCCGAGATTGAGGTTGAACATCTTGAAGTTACTGTACATACATGGTTTAATTGTTTTCATGACACCTTTCAATACAATGTACTTAATTGTAAGTTTGATCAAAATTATTTTACAAATAAATTTCTAGTATTGCTCTTTATTGCAGAGGCACTAGATTTTAATCCCAATGACAATATCTATTTTTGTATCTCATTAGAAAATGTATTAGACACTTGCCTCGGCTTAGTTCAGAAAGGAAACAATCAAAAGACACAGATAGTTGTCTGATATCTATCCGACGTAGCAACAGCGCATTCAAAATGGTTATCGACAAAAGATAGCTTCTATAATATTGTAGATTATAGCTGACTAAAGTGACTTCTCGCTGAACATTATAGCACTGGCATGATTATAGCTTGCGGTGTGTGTTTCTTTAAAGGATAACTATCATTTACAATGAGGTAAGCGCGGCTATATCAAATAATAATTTTGACATTTTTTTTGTTTACTAAGAACTCGATCCAGACATGGGAGATGAAATGATGAACCAAAGGCTGGCTTTGATGAGAAAATTGGGTAAAATGCACAATAAACAGGATGCTTCCCCCCCCCCCTCTTTTTTTTTTTTTACTTGCCATAGCATAGTTTAAAAGCTGAGACCAGTCAACAACACACATAATTAATTATGGTGTATGTCAATTTCCTACTATCGGCAAGTCGTATTATGTACTCAGCCATTATACATCTATCATAATTTTGTGGGTCTCATTTTAGTCCTGAAGCGGTTTCTTGTCAGGTAAGAAGAAGGCAAAGATAGATCAGTTAAAATATCATACTTCGGGTCAATATATCACCACCCGCCATTTTACCTCTACCTTGTCGATTA